ATAACGATGTTTTTTTTCTATAGATAATATTAAAAATAAAAATTGCTTAAGGGGGCTAATAATATTGACTTTAATTGTTTTATTATTATTATCAAAAACTGCTTTTATTCTAGCCGGAAAAAAACGCCCAAATACGACTTTCTCCAGAAGAAAAAAATATATAGGAAATACTGTAAAAAATCCCTTGCTCTGTTAAACATCATTTGGACAATATTTGAAAAAGATTCACAGTAGAGCTAATAATTTTGACTTTAACTGTATATAGCAAGTTAAACTGCATTGCCTTAAGTATCAAACTTGGTGTTTATGTAGTCTATGTTTATTATCTGGTTATAAATTAAAAAGTCATTAATTTCAGTATATAATTTATATTTATTTTATTTGTGTGTGTGTGTGTGTGTGTGTGTGTGTGTGTGTGTGTGTGTGTGTGTGTGTGTGTGTGTGTGTGTAGGTTGAGGCTATGACAGCACTTTTGGAGAGATATCAGAGCCATTTGCCATCTTCAGAAAAACGAGCCATTCCACAGGTAAATGTTGCCATCATATCGGCTCCTGTATTTTCTTCATATTACAAGTCATTTGTTTCAAAAGCAGAGGGTTTCAGCTTATTACATGCTTTGGAAAAGTGACCCCCATCCTGAAATGTAAAAGACATCTCGACAGTCCTTTTGGGACCCAGTACTGTAAAAATACAAAATAAATAAATAAATAAAGTTTATTTCGTGATTACTTTTTTACTCATTATCACTTATTTACATATTTATTTACTAATTTATTAATCCTTTTTTTCCCCCAATTTATTTAAATTTAAATTGTACTTAGTTTTTTGTTTGTTAGGATTTAAATTGTATTTTTGTATGAATTATTGCAGTTTAAAAATCCTATTTTATTTATTTGATTCCTTGTACATTAATGTCTCATTATGTATATAATAAAATGTTTGATTGTTTACTTTATTCTTATTGCATTTCTTAAACTATTTAAAATTATTAATTTTATCAATTCATTATCATCTTTCCTGTTTTTTTTTTGTTTTGTTTGTTTATTACATTTTTCGAACACCCTATCCACTTCTTTGTGGCCCTCAAGTCCCCAGATTGTTTTAAAAGTGTCATAAAACCAGCATGATTATGATCTTCATGTAATTGTCTCTCCCTCTCTCTTCAGTGTGCTTTGGGGTCTCGCTGCGCCATGAGACTGGGGTCACGCTTTGGAAAATTGTGTGAATGTGGCAGAGGATCAAACTGTAACTCATTTCTCTTAAAATGCATCTGAACTGAATCTGGAAAAAAGGCAGCTAATCCATAATCTTTTCTTGAAGCAGTAAAGTAATGCTCAAATGATGACCTGAAAGAGGCAGAGGCTGGAAATCTGTTTTCTGAATCACTTATATACGACAAGAGGATCACACAGCATGACAAGCCAATAAAAGCATGAGTTTTTTTATCTCTATGTATTTATTTTTTAAAGGGCTGTTATGTTATCAATAAACATTATTATTCATCAGCACATCTCTGTTGTCTTGATTTTTGCATCTCTTAGATACACACAACCAAAAATAATCAAATAAAACAAACTAGCACTACCAATTCTGCAGCATAAGTAAAATGATTACATTAAATAATTATAAATTAAATAAAAAGAACTCTTAAACAACTTTTTATTATTGTATTTTTTTGCATGTAGCTGAATTTTAAATTGAGTATGGATTAAAGTTATTTGAACTCCAAAGAGACTTGATAAATTAGTAGTAGGAGTAGTAGTGGTGGTTAAATTAATATGTCAAAATAGTAAATGCATCACTATACTATGACATTAAAAAAAAAGGAGGGGGGGGGGGATGGGGGTACTTTTAGCATTGTATATTCACTTAAAAATATATATTTTTTGCTACTTGTTTAAAGTCCTTAATTAAAATGAGCTAAAACAAAGCAATTCTGATGATTCAGAATTGGGGGTGGGGATTTTGGGGTGTAGTTGTGTTCAAGTGTATTTGTTTAATCCTCTTATCCATTCATTTTGTTAATCAATTTGTGTTGGGACAACATGAATGAATTGTGTGGAGCCCCTGCATTAAAATGTGTAGGTGTTTCTTTTCAGACAGTAATAGGAGTTTGGGGCTACACAAATTGTCAAACCAAAAGCATTAGGGTCAATGTAATTCATATTCTCACTGTGATCTTGATTAGATGCAATTCCCCTATCACAAATCGACTTGCAGAAATGTATACAATAATGTAGTCTACAAAAAAATGAAACCTATAAAGTGCAAAATTGCAGAAGGGGAACCTCTGACTACAGATGCACAGCAGATGCTTAAAGTCAATGAACTAGCAAATTACTAAAATAAAGATCTTGTCATTTCATTGCCCTTAGGAGGAGTTGTGTCGCTATTCCTGAATGCTTTTATGCCAAGACAATAAAATAATGTTAGTAGTAGAATATTGCCTTTTCTTCAATATCTCAGTTCATGATGGCGTCCAGGCCGTAATGTTTGCGTTTAGTCTCTCTTGATTACATTCAATCAGGGTAAAACCCAGGGGTTCAATAGTAAAGTTTCCCATTGATCTAGAGAATGAACAATCCCTCAGGTATAATAAACAGCACGTCATTAAAGGTTTGGCAGATATAAGATTCATTCATAAACCATGTTTCCTTAAGTTAGACATTCATTTCCTTAGTATTTCTCAGTCAATTCTTTCTAACAAAATTGTAATAATTGTAATCATATTATTTTGATAAAAGGGTATTGTGTCAGCAAAGGCATACACTCACCGGCCACTTTATTAGGTACACCTGTCCAAGTGCTCATTACCGCAAATTTCTAAAGTAGCCAATCACATGGCAGCAACTTAATGAATTTAGACATGTAGACATGGTCAAGACGATCTGCTGCAGTTCAAACAGAGCATCAGAATGAGGAAGAAAGGGGATTTACGTGACTTTAAACGTGGCATGGTTGTTGGTGCCAGACAGGCTGGTCTGAGTATTTCAGAAACTGATTTGATTTCTGCTGCAACATTTGGAAGGTAGGGTCAGAATTTGGTATCAATAACATAAAAGCATGGATCCATCCTGCCTTATTTCAATGGTTCAGGCTGCTGCTGGTGGTGTAATGGTGTGGGGAACATGTTCTTGGCACACTTTGGGCCCATTAGTACCAATTGAGCATCCTCTCAACGCCACAGCCTAGCTTAGTATTGTTGCTGACCATGTCCATCCCTTTATGACCACAGTATACCCATAATGGCTACCTCCAGCAGGATAACGCACCATGTCATAAAGCATGAATCATCCTAGACTGGTTACTTGAACATGACAATGAGTTCACTGTGCTCAAATGGCCTCCACAGTCATCAGCTCTTAATCCAATATAGCACCTTTAGGATGTGCTGGAGCAGGAGATTCACATCATGGATGTGCAGCCAACAAATCTGCAGCAACTGCATGACGCTATCATGTCAATATGGAGCAAAATCTCTGAGGAATATTTAGAGTATCCTGTTGAATCTATGCCACAAAGGATTAAGCTAGTTCTGAAAGCAAAAGTAGTCCAACTTGGTAGTAGTAAGATCTACCTAATAAAGTGGCCGGTGAGTGTAAGTGCAACACACCTTTATTTCTCAAGGTTGGAATATCACTTTCCCTTTAAGGTGGACCTTAGCTGTCGCTAATCAAAATACTAATGCAGAAAATGATAGTGTTGAGAATATGCTTTATATGAAATAATGAATGCTGGGGAAATGAAATTTGGGATTTTGAATAAGGGTTCAAATGTTGTAACTGGTATGATGTCTTTTCAAAAGGTATACGTTTATACCTAAAGGTTCAATATTGGTGATTTAAGACGTATTAGCACCTAAAGTGTACTTCTATTATACTTTAAAAGTACATTTTGTATTAATTTCAAAGGTTCTACCTCTGTGATCTGCTATATTTAAATATTACTGTTTTTATGTATTATTAAAATATCAGAAGAGTTTCATACAGCAGTTAGAGATCCATCCATGTAAAATGACTGTAAAGTTATATGGAAGGATGTAATAATGATTGGTGAAACGTTAATGCATAAATTCTGTGAATGAGATATAATCAAATACAGCAATTGTGGAACAGTACCTGTGGAAATAACCGAGGAAAAAACAGAACCAGATGGATATAGCTTACCTTCATTTGAGCCTTACTTATACATGCCGGGTTTATGAATGTTTAAAGGTTATTAGCTATTCTTCAGTGGTGTGTGTCATCATTTACACATTAAAGTCTTGCATTAAGCAGTATGATATATACACAGTAAGGCTCTACAACAAGCCTGCAGAGGGAATGTGTCCCTTGAGAAATAGCACTGGTCAATACATTGGTCGTTGAGAGCACGACTTTCTGGGCCATTTCTGGAAATTGGTCAGTTTACTGTCCCCTGGTGATGCATTGGTGCATTATTTATGTCCTGTGTTGTACACATGCACTCTGGCACTTTGATGACCCATAAACAAATGTTTAAACTGTTAGTCTTGAGGACACACTGAATTATTCATCTGCCCAGTGTTTCACCACACAATATTATGCTTTAAAGTACATGAAAATCTGGATGCACCTACAGTATAGGCATAGGTGAATAGTAAGAGTTCGGTACATGTAAATGACATATCATTAGCCTCAAACTCTCAGGGCGAACAACAGAAAAAGAACACTTGCACACAGAAGGACAGGAAAAACTGGACAGGACAAAGTGATTAGTAGACAGCAACAGCTTGTGCATTACGACTACCCAGAATAAAAACAAGGTAACTTATCAATCCAACTTATCCAGCATACAGTACATTTCAGGCAGCGGATGCCCTTCCAGCTGTAACCTAACACTGGGAAACACCCATACACACTCTTTTACACACATACACTACAGCCAATTTAGCTCAGTCAGTTCACCTATAGTGCATGTGTTTGGACTAGGGGAAACGGAGCACCCGGAGGAAACCCATTGTGAACACAGGGAGAACGTTCAAATCCACAGAAATGCCAACTGACCCAGCCGGGACTCGAACCAACGAACTTCTTGCTGTGAGGTGACAGCACTACCTACTGTGCCACTGCGTCGCCTATCGTCACAATATACTTATTTAATTTTTAAATACTAAGTATATATAAGTCATAATCAGGTATTTCCTTCAGATAGATAGATCTCATTTCAAGAAATCGAATCTTAAAGTTTCTAATCACTTGATTCTAATCACTCAATTGAGTCAGACTAAACCAGATTAAAAGATTCACACTTTATCTACCATTTTTCCAGCAAATAGAAGACATCGTAATTTACCAATCTTGTTTATATTATTTCCGTGGCCAATGATAATAACATAACACAGTATTGGGTTAAATTTTAGCAAAGTAAAAAAAAATCTACAGCACCAGGCAATGACTTAGAAGCACATAAACACGAACACAGCTCTTACAAAATGAGAACATAAACGCAAACACACATATACACACAGAGGCGGTTCAGAGGATGCAAAATGAGTTAACAACTGTCCCCAAAATTAATTCTAGTACTTCTTACTAGATCTTAGAGACACCTCTGAGAAACCACAAAAGCAGAGATTTGGCTTACTTGCTTAAGATCAATGTTGCACCAGATCAGCAAGAGACAACATTTGTTTGTGTTAATTGTACTTTTGTTGGAAGGCCTGAGATTTCCTCACTGGCTGGCCTCTAGGAAGCACGGCGCTCCTGATTGGTTGGTGACCCACTTCAGTGACGTCTATGGGATTTCCTCACTCGTGAGTGGAGGTTGTCCTGGGTTACCAGGTGAGAGTCACCTGAGAGTCGGTTTGTTGAGGTTCTTGCAGTTTCGGCGGTCCTGAAACTTTAAGAGGTTGCATGGAACATTTGTGCTCACCACGGTGTCCGAGAACGCCGAAAGGGGCAGAGAGTACAGCTAGCATGTGAAAATAATGTAAAAAAGCAATGTTTTACTGTTGCAGTATGTTTGTAAGTGAACCGGTTTGGTCCATCCTACTGGCACTGTCTTCCAAAGAGCGGTTGCCATAAAAAGCGCTGCCCTTAATTCCAGAGATCCTTTGTCTCTACGAAAGTGTGCATCTGACTGGATGTCCCATATGACGAGCATATGACCCGGGAGAACATCTGCAGCCAAAGTAATGGTCAAAATAGTCAGATCAATTGGCTCTCTGTTATCATGATGGTATAAGCCCTCGAGAGAGAGTTTTAAATGACTATGTGGTGCCAAGCCTTCAGATTCAGACTGGTTTTGTGTTCTGCAATATACCAGTGAGTTCCAACAGTGGAGAACACTGAACACAGAACACTGGAGAAGGTTTTGTTTATTGCTGAAGAACAGCCAGCAAGTTAGTCTTGTTTTTGTCTTTTGCAGATTAGGGTGGGGCATGTGGAGAAATGGGAATCACACCTCAGAAATGACTGGAAACTGATGGTCAAATTAGGTATTTTCTGGATGGATGGATGGATGGATGGATGGATGGATGAATAGG